TCCATTTTGTGAAGATTTTGGCTTCTGTCTCACTGTGACTCTCTCCAACATTACTCTACCATCATTCTTAGTCACATCAATATCCATACAGTTGACCCTCTACTCCCTCAGTTTTAAATTTCTGGAACTTCTCTCCTCTGATGAGTATGTCCACCTTCCCACTTCCACTTCCACAGTCACACAAATAACCACCTCATAATCTCAATTTCAATTATCTTTATTTTTCTTTTGAGATACAGTCTTGCTCTATCACTGTAGGTGGGAGTACAGTGGCATAATATAGCTCACTGCAGCCTCCAACTCCTGGGCTTAAATGATCCTCTTGTGTCTGCTTCTCAAGTAGCTAGGGCTACAGGCACATAACACCACACTCAGCTAATTTTTGAATTTATTTTGTGGAGATGGGATCTCACTATGTTAACCAGGCTGGTCTCAAGCTCCTTGCCTCAAGTCATCTTCCTGCCTTGGCCTCCCGAAGTGCTGGGATTATGGGCATAAGCCATTGTGCCCGACCAATAATCTTATTGTATATAATAGGCATGTACCAACTCCTATTTTCCAAGATAGTAGAAATCTAAGATAATAGTAATAAATCCCACTATGTCCTACAACAACCTACAGCAGGTCTATTTTACTCTTTAAGAGAGAAGGTGCACCATCTCCTATCTTTTCACCTTATGCACTCTAGTACTCCAATTCTAACACTTCTACATCCACAGTGAGACTAATTCATCAATCCTGTGATCTTTTACTGACCCTCACCCATCTCATATTCTCAGTTCTTCTTTTGCTTAAAACCATGTAATAACTATCCATCTTAGGCCGAGTGTGGTGGCTCACACCTGTAATCCTAGCACTCTGGGAGGCAGAGGCGGGAGGATTGCTTGAGCTCAGGAGTTCAGGAGACCAGCCTGAGCAAGAGTGAGACCGCATCTCTACTAAAAATAGGAAAAATTAGCTGGGCAACTAAAAATAGGAAAAATTAGCTGGGTGTGGTGGTGCATGCCTGTAGTCCCAGCTACTC